CTCCGAGCTTGATACTGTTATTTACTTGTTTAGTTGTTTAGTGACTGGTTGGATTATTCTAGTGAATTCCTCCCAGCCGCAGAGTGTGAAGCCTCTGATGTTGCACCTTTAGGAGTGTTGCTTTGAGTGTACCGCAGCCATCCTGTGATGACAGTGGTTTTGGCAGGGCTCTCTTACCTGGTTTTTTCTCTGACCACATCTAACTGTTAAACTACGCTAATTCCTGGCTGATTGCTCTGTTGTTTTTGAGAATGTCTTTTATGGAAGAACACATCACGTTTTTCCTCTGCTTTTACACCAACACAACAACAATCAAGTCAGAAGACTTCGGTGACTTCCAAATATGTGGGGATTTTTCCCTGCCAGCAAGGAAGCAGTCAGTTCCGCTGTGGAACTGACTAGCTAGGTGTCCTCCACCTCAATTCTGGCACTATTTATCTGGAGACAGTGTCACATCCCACAGGTTGGGGGCTCGGTCCCCAAATTTGCTGGTCCCTTCAGACACCAGTCACAAGTTCAGGCATGGTTGCTCATGCTTATAATCCCAGCTTTGAAGGCCAAGGCAGGAGGATCGCTTGAGTCTGGGAGTTCAAGACCATCCTGGGCAACATATGGAGACCCATCTCTACCAAAAATTTTAAAATCAGCAGCGGTGGTAGTGGCAAGCACCTGTGGTCTCATCTACTTGAGAGGCTGAGGTGGGGGGATTTCTGGAGACCGAGCTGCAGTGATCTGTGATTGCACCACTGCACTCTAGCCTGAGGGACAGAGCAAGATCTTGTGTGTGTGTGTGTGTGTGTGTGTGTGTGTGTGTGTGTATGTCCTGCAGTAGCTGACGCTGCCATTGCCTATGCGATTCCCATTCCCTCTCATCCTCTCTAGCAAAATACCAATTTTGTTTAAAGTGTCAATGAAGGCTGGGCAGGAGGGCCGACGCCTGTAATTCCAGCACTTTGGGAAGCTGAGGCGGTTGAATCACCTGAGGTCAGGAGTTGAAGACTAGCCTGGCCAACATGGTGAAACCCTGTCTCTACTGAAAATACAAAATTTAGCTGGGCATGGTGGGCACCTATAATTCCAGCTACTCAGGGGGCTGAGACAGAAGAATCACTTGAACCCGAGAGGAGGAGGTTGCAGTGAGCTGAGATCACATCATTGCAATCTAGCCTGGGTGAAAAGAGTGAAACTCTGTCTTAAAAAGCAAAAACGAAAACGAAAACCAGAAAACAACAAAAAACAAACTGTCAGTGAAGGTCCAGCAGAAGACTCCCTTCCTATTGCCCTTTGCAGCCCAGGTCATCATTGACACAGTTCAGATCACTGAGGTGGAGGCTGAGAGTTCCTGGAAAGATCTGCTTTTCCTATACAGGTACCACGTCTTTCTGCTTCACTCTTTCCATTTTCCCCGTGATCAAAGCCATGTAGCCTGGGATGACTCACACCTGCAATCTCGGCAGTTTGGCAGTCTGAGGCAGGAGGATCACTCATTACCCAAGAGTTTGAGACCAGCCTGGGCAACAATAGTAAGGCCCCAACTCTACAAAAAAAAAAAAAAAAAAAAAAAAATTAGATGAGTGTGGTCACATGTGCCTGTATTCCCAACTACATTCCCAGTGGGAAGCTGATGTGGGAGGATTCCTTGAGCCCAGGAGTTCAACGCTGCAGTGAGCTATGATCATGTCATTGCACTCCAGCCTGGGTGACACACTGAGACCCTGTTTCAAAAATAAATAAATAAAAATGAATTTAAAAAATAAAATAAAACAAAAATAGTTTTTGGCTGAGCATGGTGGCTTACGCCTGTAATCCCAGCACTTTGGGAGGTCAAGGCAGGAGGATCAAATGAGGCCTGGAGTTAGAGTCCAGCCTGGGCAATATAGCCAGGCCCCATCTATACAAAAAATAAAAATAAATTAAAATAAATAAGATTAAAAAATAGTTGTTATCGTAATCACCTGTTTATGTGTATATGTATGTAAATATAGTGTATGTCTACATAACGTATAATTATTTACAAACCTATGCATTTAAAAGTATAAATGCGTATGTAAATCTTAATAGGCTTGTATCTGTTTGGTGAGCTTATAAGTGGTTTTATTCTTTCTCTTACTTACCCTGACTACATTGTTTTCAATAAAAATAAAAATAAGAGACCAAAAGTGCTTAAAATGCTTAATGTCCATGTTTCTTAGTCCAACACTCAGTGGCTTTCACATGGGCAGGAATAACGGTGTGGAGTGTGTGAGAAAGTGTGACCTTAAGTTAGTTCGTCATTGTATGTAAGTGTATGGGTGTTTGGGAGTGTGTCTGAGTCTGTGAGTGTGTGTGAATGTGTGTATTTTTGAGAGAGGGTCAGTGTGTGTGTGTGTGTGTGTGTGTGTATTAGTGTGTGATGTGGATGTGTTTGGGAGTATACGTGCATGTGAGTGAGTGTGTCTGTCTTCCTGGGGGAGGGGTGAACAGCCAGAAAGGATTCAAGGATCTCCTTCTTCTCAGATTGGTCTGATCGCTCAGGGGGTGCCTTTTGCAAACCTGCTTTTCTCATTCTCAATTCTGCCCCCGCCCCGTTTTCTGAGCTGGAGAGGAAGTGACCATGAGAAGGAGCTCAGGCTGCATCTCTGGGGTGGGGCCCGACTGTCTGTTTCCTGCTCCCACGACAGCTGCTACCAAGGCTCCAGAGGTTGTTAGGCGAGTAGCACCCCTGGTCACTCCAGCCTGAGAGGGTGACCAGGTCAGCTACTTGTCATGAATCCATCAAGAATCATACCACAAAGGGCAGGTGCGGTGGCTCACGCCTGTAATCCCAGCAGTTTGAGAGGTGGAGGGAGGATTGCTGGAGCCCAAGAGCAGGAGACCCTGTCACTACAAAAAAAAAAAAAAGTTTTAAAATTATCTGGGCATGGTGGTATGCACCTGTAGTCCCAGTTGCTCAGGAGGCTGAGGTGGAAGGATCCCTTGAACCCGGGAGGCAGAGGTCGCAGTGAGCTGAGATCCCACCACTGCACTCCAGCCTGGGCAATAGAGCAAGACTCTCTCTCTGTCTCTCTCTCTCTCTCTCTCACACATACACACACACATACACACAAAGAATCACATCCCAAAATCAAAGGATGTGGGGAAAGGCTGTGGATTCCAACACGGGCATGCTAAATGGACCCAGGATCCCCGAGAAACAGGCCTGCGAACCATGTGAGCCCAGCATTTCCACTTGAGGTCAGGCCCCCCTGCTCTCCTCAACAGCACTTTCAGCCTCCCACAGAGCCAGTTTTTCCAGAGCCCACTTTGGGAATGCTGACCTGTGACAATAGCCTATTTTGCACAGCACATCACAGGCTTCGTAGCTTCCTCACACCCAGGAACACACCATCCTGGAGCCCTGCGAGCAGGCAAGGTGGGGCCCATTTTACAGATGGGCAAGTGGAGTCCTTGCTCAAGGTGCACCCAGCTTGTGAGAGGCCTTCCTGTGCTGGAACTCTGCCATCTTTTTCCTTCTCAGCAGAAGCAGAGTGGAGGCCGGGCACAGTGGCCCACGCCTGTAATCTTAGCACTTTGGGAGGCTGACATGGGCAGACTACTTGAGGTCAGGAACTCTAGACCAGCCTGGCCAATATGGTGAAACCCCATCTCTACTAAAAAAGATGCAGAAATTAGCTCATCCTGGTGATGCGCACCTGTATTCCCAGCTGCTTGGGAGGCTGAAGCAGGAGAATTGCATGAACTCGGGAGGCAGAGGTTGCAGTGAACTGAGATTGCGCCACTGCACTGCACTCCAGCCTCAAAAAAAAAAAAAAGGAGCAGAGTGGAGAGCAGGGTCCTGAATGAGCCCAAGAGGGATACAATTTGTAGAAGAAAAGACTGGGCTAACGTTTGGGACTCAGTGGGTGAAGGGATTCCTTGGGAGGTAAAATAATGAGATAATATTTAAGAGGGATCTGAGGGCAGGAGGTGCTGAAGAGTGGGTGTCAACTGGTGCTGGCTGGGTCCCTAAGTCATCTGATCAGCCTGAGATAAAGGACCCTCTAAAGGAGAGTGAGGCCAGTTTCTGGTCCCAGCTATGTCCCCAGCAGGCCATATGGCTTAAGTCAGTACTTCCTGTTCTCCAGGCCTCAGTTTCCTTATCTGAGCGAGGAAAGGCCTGGGCTAGGGTTGCCAGAGAAAATATGAGATGTTCAATTTAATTTGAATTTCAGGAAAACAACAATTTTTTGTTTTTCTTTGAGAAACGGTCTCACTGTGTCACCCAGTCCGGAGAGCAGTGATGCAATCATGGCTCACTGCAGCCTTGACTTTCTGGGCTCAAGCAATCCTCCTGCCTCAGCCTCCTGAGTAGATGGGACTATAGGCATGTGCCACCATGCCTGGCTTTTTTCCACTAATCCAAACCCCCACTGGCTGATTTTAAAAGGTATTTTGTAGAGATGGCGGTCTCTATGTCGCCAGCCTGGTTGGTCTCAAACTCCTGAGCTCAAGCGATCCACTCAGCTTGGTTTCTCAAAGTGCTGGAGTTACAGGCTTGAGCCGCCACACCAGGCAATAATTTTTAGTATATGTATGTCCCATGCAATATTTGGAACATACTTGTACTAAATTATTTATTCTTCATCGTATCATTGTATTCAAATTTAACTGGGAATCAGGAATTTTTGTGTGCTAAATCTGGTAGCTGGGAGAATGGGTGAATGAGGATGCAGCCAAGAACAGCATCAGCCTGGACACCCAGGGAGGGGAGGAGGGAGAAGTGGAGAGAAGAGGCAGAGGGATGGGGATGCTTACAAGCAAGGGCCCTGCCTGACCCCCCACGGCTGGGGATTCTCCCTCCATTAGCACACCCCGGGCACCCCTGCAGCTGCCTGGCCTCCAGCAACCTCACATTCTAGTTGTGTGGGGATGGGGTGTAGACCACAGGACATGGATCCTCTGGGCTCCCACCACCCTGCCCTGCTTCTTCACAAACTGGTATTGGTATTTGTGGTAAACCTAGTGACATGAGAAGATGACATACAAAAAGAGCAAGACCTGAGAAAGGTTAGGCTGCAGTCTCCCTGCCCATAACACAGGGTGTGGAAGACATCTCAGCAGCCTCTCCACCATGGCTACCTGGGCTCTCCTGCTTCTTGCTGCCATGCTCCTGGGCAACCCAGGTAAGGCCTTCCCCTTTGGATTGATCCTAATGGCCCTCCTAGCCCCGCACTCCCTGGCTGGCTGAACCCGGAGCACCGGCTCTGTGGGCACCCAGGTACCCCTGACTCTTCCCAGTTTTCTCCCCCTTCTTGGAGGCCCAGCCATCCCTTCAGAGCCAGGCTTAGCCCAGTGTGCTCCTTAGCCTGTCAGTGGCCTGGCTGAGGAGGAGAGACACAGGCTGGGGATTCTGGTCCTAAATCTACTGGCCACGCTTGTGGCCTGGGACCCCCTTTTGCCTCCCAAGTCCTGGCCCCCACATCTGTGTGGTGAAAGCCATTGGCCCTCATCGGTGGGTCTGCTTTTCCTTGGGCCCACACTGGCTAAAATGTGAGGGCTGGTGAGAGAAGAGGGTCTCTTCCCTGTTCAAGGCAGACTTCCTGCCCCCTGCAGCCTGCTCTCTCCCAGGCCTTGGGGTCAGCGTGAGTCCCAAGGGCAAGGACACTCCTGGAAGGGAGAGTGGATTTGGCTGGGCCATCTGGATGGAAGGTAAAAAAAGAAAATCTCTTGAAAGGAGATGGGGGAAGTTTCTAGACAAACTGACCCCCATACCTTTGTTGCTGGGGAAACAGAGGAGAAGGGAGAGTCTTCCCCTCCTGGCTTTCTAGGAGCATGAGAATATGTGTTTGTGCTGAGAGTGGGTCAGAGCGGCTCCAGGGCAGAGCATGTGGACAGGTCTCCTGGCCCCTACAAGGCCCAGTTCCTGTCCTGGGCCCTGGCCACCTCCTGGGCTCCCACCAGACAGGAGAATGGGCTTTTCCTCTCCTTCCACCTGTGGAGGGGAAGCTGAAGTGCCGTCTTCCTCAGGTCTGGTCGTCTCTCGTCAGAGCCCTGAGTACTATGACCTGGCGACAGCCCACCTGGGTGACAAGGAGCGATCCTGTCCATGCCTGGCCCAGGAAGGCCCCCAGGTACACGTTGGCTCTCTGCTCACCTCCCACAGTCCCTCTACTTTCCTTCCTCCCTGGGTGGCTCCTGGGGTGAGGGCTGGAACTCTCTAATGGGGAGGAGATGGGGGTGGAAGCTGGGCTGTTTCTGAAGATGCTGGTTTTGTTGAATTCACTTCTGGCCAGGAGAGTACAGACACCTGGTAGACTCCCCCAAGGGGATCCTCTGGGGTCTCACCCTTCAAGGAGCCTAGGGCTGCAGAATCCAAATAGGCAGACTCCCTTGGGAGTTCCTCAACAGGAGAGGGGCAGGGGCAGGGCTGGGAAAGTCCTAGGGGTGTGGGAGGCAGGTTCTGTGTGCCTCTAAGACAAGCAGAAAGGTGGGCAGGGGCCAGGCTGCCAGTTCAGGCCTTCGGTGTATCCATGCTCCGGGCCTCAGAAACACCAAGGGCCCTTCCTTGGGCACTTTCCCAGGCTCCTAGAGATTCTGAGAGACCACCATAAAGGGCGTTTTTTCCTGTCAGGATGATCTGTTCACCAAAACAGAGAAGCTGGGCTTCCGCTGCAAGACTTGTCTGAGGATGATCCAGGCACTGAAGGACATGGTGAAGGAGCCCACCAAGGTGAGGCCGGGGGGCCACGGAGCCTCCTGTCTGCTACTCAATGGAGGGACCAGCCTGTGACTAGGATGGGGGTATGGGAGCCCAGGGCACCCTGCACAGTGGCCCCGGAGGAGGGCTTCCTAGAAGGGAAGCTGTGAGCCCCCATGTGTCTGTGCATGAATTTCAGAGAACTTGTGAAATTGTTCGTGACTCTCTGGAATTGTCTGTCAGAGGGCAGAGTATACATGGTCTTCATCATGTATCCTCAAAGAGGGCTTGTCCCAGAGAAGTTAGGAATCTTCCCCTAAAGCCCTAACATTTGTGTGCAAGGCAGAGCTTTGAGAAGCTGGTTCCCCAAGAGGCCTGGGTCAGGATTGATAAATCCCAGATCTGCTACTTCTAAGCCACATGGCCGTGGGCAAGTCACTTCCACTTTCTGAGCCTCGGTCATCTTATCTTTGAAATGGAAGGATAATAGTCCCTATCTTGCAAGTTGCCAAAGCTTTGTTTTTTGAGATAGGATGTTGTCTGTGAACGTGGCTGGAGGGCAGTGGTGCGATCTCGGCTCACTGCAGCCTCTGCCTCCCTGGCCCAGGCCATTCTCCTCCTTGAGCTCCTGGAGTAGCTGGGACTCCAGGTGTGCACCACCATGCCCAGCTAATTTTCGTACTTTTGTAGAGATGAGGTCTCACTGTGTTGCTCAGGCTGGTCTCCAACTTCTGAGCTGAAGCCATCCACCTGCCTCAGCCTCCCAAAGTGCTGGGATTATAGGCTGAGCCAATGGGCCTGCTGCCAAAATTTTTTACAAGAGCTGAAGGCGGAATGTACTTCACTCCACGTCCAGCACTGAGTAATGCTTAACAAATGACTGAGCTACTACCAAGAATGATTGTTTCACTGTCCCTCCTTCCCTGTCCTCTGCTCCCCCAAACTACTCAGCATCCTGGCACTTGCAGGCTCACAGTCAGCCCTGGATACCCAGATTCATCCTCCTCCCCTGGGATGGCATAGAAGAGACTTCAAAACCAAATGAGCCAAGACTCCACGCTCTGACCATCCCCCCACTCCCCACCAGTCTTCCCTATGCACCCCCTCTAGCTGGAGTCCCCAGCCAGGTCCTGGACCCAGCTGGCTACATGGCAGAGCATTTAATGTGTGCCTGGTAGCCACAGGCACCATTCTCCACACAGAAGGCAGGGGACAGGTGGACAGGGGGCTGCGGCCCCAGCAGGGTAACTGTCCTTGTCTCAGGAGCCCTATGTGGCCAGGCTTGGGCCAGGCCTTGGGATCTGGGAGTGTGGGCTGAGCCCTGTCTCTACAGTTTCTGGCCCCATGGGCACCAGGCACTGTCTCCCTGTGTCCAGGGAATTGTGTGAGTCAGACTCCCATTGCCAGGGCTGCTGGAACCTGCAGGGTGCCAGATCTGGGCAGGACTCACCCTATAACCATGTGGCATTACTGCTGCAGGAAAACATTTCCGATGCTTCGACCAGGCTGTGCAGGAAGGTGAAGTCACTATGGCGTGACTTCTGCCTAAAGACCATAAGGAGGTACATGCCTAGACTTATCCAGGACATCATGGGCAGAAAAACTGCCCAGGAGATCTGTGTGGACATCAGGATGTGCAAACCTTCTATGGGTGAGTGCAGAGGTGAGAGCAGGGGTGCCTCCCGAGGGTTGGAGACAGCTTCCTCCAGGATACATCAGAGCTGCCTTCTTAGAACACATTACTCCCCCACCTCCCAGGACGGGAAAATGTGGAGAATTAAGCAGATGGATTTTAGCTAGAAATGTTTGAGAAACATTGATTAGAGCTTGGGCTTCAGACACAGGTGGTCGTGGAGTAAAATCTGGTCTCTCTCTTCCCTTGGCTGTGTGTCCTTAAGCAAATAACTTGACCTCTCTGAGCTTCAGTGTCTTCATCTGTGAAGGGCAGACAGTAATCCTGACTTCTGAGATTGGAATGAGAATCGAAGGAGGTCACCCTGTGTATGGATCTGACCCTGAGGAAATGTCCTCAGACTGGAGCTATGCAAGGTCATCAGACCCCCCACTCAAACACCAATCCCCAGCCCAGCACAGGCCCTTGGGGTCAGGCGCTGGGGCCACATCCTCCCCCACAACCCTGGGCCCCGAGAGCTGGGCTAGGGAATGCCTTCAGGCCAGGGAGCTCCAGGACTCTCCCTCCATGGCTGCCCAGGCTTGCCCCGAGACGACAGGCCTCGGCTGAAGGAAAGGGGCCAGAAAGGGGCCTCGGTGATTGGCTCTGGCAGCTCAGCTGGCACTTGCTGATGCTCTGGAACTTTATGCTAGCAGATCGGGGGTCCCCACCATTTCCTGTCATTGGCGCTTGTGGCTTTTCTCTTCAAGGCCTTACAACCTGCTCAGGCTCCCGACCGGCTTCCTGGATGTGCCGCTGGGTGTCCTCAGCAGCGGCAGGTGGCTGTGGGACCTTAAGCAAATAACATTCTGAGTGCCTGCTTTTCCTTGGGGATCCACCACACCTGCCCACAGCTGGCTCTTCTCTCTGCTCCAGGTCCTCTCTGAGCCCTCTCACCGTGTCCTGTGGAAGAAGCACAGGCTCCTGTCCTCAGATCCCAGGAACCTCAGCAGACTCTGCTGGCTCCTCCCTTCCTCGGTTCAGAATCCCCTCTCCAGTCTCCCTCTCCCGACTCCCTCTGCTGCCCTCCCCTCTCAGGAGAATAAAATGTCAAGCAAGATTTTAGCTGAAGCTTGCTTTTCTTTGGTGGATTCGAGGTGGGTGTCAGCGGCATGCTGGGGTGAGCTGTGCAGTTCTTCAATAAATGTCTGTTGTGTGTCTCATACACTGTTGTAGATGCTATGGATTTTGTGGTGAACCAGACAACCTTAACAGCCCTCATACAGTTAGTCATGAAATGCCTAGTGACCACTCACCACAGCGATGCGTTACTCCTAGAGGCCGGGACACACAGTGGCTGTGTCTCCAGAAGCTCTCAGACTGGAGAGGGAGACCAGCAGGGTTAGAGGTGTTTTATTTTGTTTTGGTGGAAAGGAATATAACCCATCCTCTTGCTTCTTGCCTGCCACAGGCAGCCTTCCTTTGCTGTTTCGGGGGAGTGTATCACTTAGGGTCCTTTGGTGGCAAGCAACAGAAGTCTCCGCCCATTCTGAAAAGGTAATTTACTGGTTCAAATAATTAACCAGTCCACAGATACGTTCAGGCACAGAATGATCCAGAAATGTGTGGCATCACCAGAGCCCCAGTCCTGTTTTATTGCAATTTTTCGTTCTCCCGACCTCTGTATATTGAAATTGTCTTCAGATTCACTTCTCTCTTGGCAGCAGAAATGGCTTCAACAGGTCCACACCTCACATCTTTACAGTGCATCCACCAGAGGGAGAGAGCTCCCTTGGAAAGAGATAGGAAGCTTCTTTCCCAGAAGTCCTATCAGATATCTCCTCAGTTCTCACTGGTCAGTTCTCGCAAGTTATTTACCCACTCTCGGACCAATCACTGTGTTCTGGAGAATAATGGCATACACTGATTGGCTTAAGCTAAGCAGGGCATGCCCCTGGGGCTGAGGTGGGGTCCATCCCAACCGAATCACTTGGTTGACAATAAACATGAAAATCTGGGCTGCTGCTGGTGGGAAAAGGAAAAAATGGACGCTGGTCCCTCTAAGAGAATGGTGTGTTATTCTGGGTTCAATCAAAGAAGTTGTTCAAGGGGACTACCGAGGCCAAATCTGGGGCTATTTGAGTCTCAGAATAGATGACAAGAACAGATTGTAATCCATTGAATAAAGTAGAATCCATGAGTTTATATAAATACAAATAATACAGGAATAAATAAACAAGGGAAATGAAAAAATGCTACCTTACAATACAATGACAGTTAATAAATGTAGACCTAGATGCAAAGCATACCCTACTAACATATTTGTTATAGTGAGTATATCAAATACTTACTAACTTGATTTTTAAAAACTGTTTATTTATTTATTTTTCTTTTTTTCCTGATCAAAACCCTGATTATTAATTTTTAAAATAGGGAAGAAAAACTTTTACTGGTAACCATATTTATTTATTTTTGAGACAGAGTCTCACTCTGTTGCCCGGGCTGGAGTGCAGTGGCATGATCTTGGCTCACTGCAACCTCTGCCTCCTGGGTTCAAGGGATTCTCCTGCCTCAGCTTCTTGAGTAGCTGGGATTATAGGCGTGTACCACCACACCTGGCTAATTTTGATTTTTTAGTAGAGATGGGATATCTTCATGTTGGTCAGGCTGATCTTGAACTCCTGACCTCAGGTGATCTGCCCACCTCTGCCTCCCAAAGTGCTGGTATTACAGATGTGAGCCGCTGCGCTTCGACATGTTTATGCTTTTAGAGACAGAGTCTCACTTTATCTCCCAGGCTGGAGTGCTGTGGCTCTTCTCATGTGCTAAGGTATGATCTTAGCACTCTGCATCCTCAAACTCCTGGCCTTAAGGGATCCTCTCACCTCAGCCTCCAGAGTAGCTGGGAGTACAGGTGTACAGGTGTGTAGCACTGCGCCTGGCTCAATAATATGATATCAATTAATACATTTCATTAGTAGTTAACCTGTCAGTGGAGAAAGCTGTCAGCTGATGAAAGTGAATGCCACCTCTCATGGGGCAAGTCAATATCATGGGCCTCATAATATATAATGCTCTGAGAGAAATATAATACGACTTTTCTATTGTTCTTGCTGAAAACGCAAAAATCATGAGGAAACATCAGAGCAAACCCAAACTGACATTTTACGAAGTACTTAGCCTGTCCTCTTTTCCTTTTCCTCTTTTTCTTTCTTTCTTTCTTTTTTTTTTTTTTTCTGAGCCAGAGTCTCACTATCTCACCCAGGCTCCCAGAGTGGAGGTTCATTTGTGTGATCTGGGCTCACTGCAACCTCTGCCTCCTGGGTTCAAGTGATTCTCCTGCCTCAGTCTCCTGAGTAGCTTGGGCTTACAGGAATGTACCACCATACCTGACTAGTTTTGTATTTTTTGTAGAGAGGGGGTTTCACTGTGTTGGCCAGGTTGGTCTCAAACTTCTGACTTCAATTCATCTGCCTGCCTTGGCCTCTCAAAGTGCTGGGATTACAGGTGTGAGCCACTGCACTCTAGCCTGTCCTCTTCAAAAATGCCAAGGTAACAAAAGACAAATAAAGATGGAAGAACTGTTCCAGATAGAAGGAAGCATGACAACTGATTGCAACACATGATTCTAGTTTGGATCCAGACCTATAAAGAACATAATGGGGGAACTGATAAAATGGGACTGGAATCTGTGAGGGGAACATTCTGTCAATGTTAATTTCTGATTTTGGTGGTTGTCCTATGGTTACGTACGGCAGTGTCCTTGTTAGAAAATATAAAGTATTTACAGAGTAATAGGTCATCACATCTGCAATTACAGTGAAATGATTTAGAAAAAAAGGCAATACGTACGCAAAGAATGAGTGTGATAAGGCATACACCATATCCCTGTGGTAAAGTATTAACAGTGGGGAATGCTATTTAAGGGTAAATAGGTGCTCCTGTTTACACTGGGAAGTTTGGAAGGTGAAATCTCCGAACTCTATAGCAAGCTGCAGGAATGCAACTTCCAAACTTCATGCTGAAATGTGACCCCCAATATTGGAGGTGGGACCTAGTGGGAGGTGTTGGAGTCATGGAGGTGGATCCCTTAATTCTTGTGGTAATGAGTGAGTTCTTGCTCTGTTAGTTTCTGTGAGAGCTGCTTGTTAAATTAGTTTCTGTGAGAGTTGTTTGTTAAATCTCCCCTCTCTTCTTTTCTCACTATGTGACCTCTGCACACACTTTCTTCTCCCTTTCCCTTCTGCCATTAGTGGAAACACCCTTTTTCGTTTTGAGACGGAGTCTTGCTCTGTCACCTAGGCTGGAGTGCATTGGTTGGTGTAACCTATGGCTCCCAGGTTCCTGGGTCCAAGGGATGCCCTGCCTCAACCTCTGCAGTAGCTGGGACTATAGGCCCCTACTACCATGCTTGGTGAATTTTTATACTTTTAGTAGAGTTGGTGTTTCTCTATGTTGGCCAGGCTGGTCTTGAACTCCTGACTTCAAGTGATCCATCTGGCTTGTTCTCCCAAAGTGCTGGGATTCCAGGCGTGAGCCCCTGCGCATGGCCCAACGTGGAGGCAGCCTGAGCCAGTCACCAGATGCACATGCTGGAGCTATGCCTCTGGTATAGCTTAAGGAACTGTGAGCCAAGCAAACCTCTTTCCTTATAAATTACCCAGCCTCAGGTGTTCCTTTATAGCAACACAAATAGACGAAGACACAACTTTTCTCTAGATGTGAAATTGTTTCAAAATCAAAGTAAGTGACTTGTAGCGTTTTGACTTAGCAAATTGGTGGATGGTGGTGCCCTTTACTGAGATGGAGGAGACATGTGGATGGGTAGATTTGGAGGGAATAATGGAGAGCTCTGCTTCGGCCATGTGAAGGTTAGGTGTTAAATTTCCAAGGTGAGATATCAAATAGGGGAGTTGGGCCCTAAATACACAATTGAAGCCTGGACGAGGCCATCTAGGAGTGAGTGAGAGGCCACTCCAGCCACTGATTAGTTTTGATCAGTGAACTCTAGTGGTGGGCAGTCTGAGTCATCATTGAGAAGAAAAGTCTATGGCATTGAGACACATCTCGGTTTTTATTCTTTTTTTTCTTTTTCTTTTTGATTCATTATTTGCTGATTATATAAATAAATCCCTTACGTGTATGGGATTATGTTATCCGCAAATAGAGATCATAGTACTTCTCTCTTTCCAATGTGAATTTCACTTCATCTTCTTGCCTAATTTTCCTGGCTAGAATCTTCAGTACAATGTTGAATAGAAGTTATCAGAGCGGCAGTCCTTGTCTTGCTCTTATCTCAGGGAAAGCATTTGGTCTTTCAGCATTAAGTAAGAAGTCAGTTCTGGGTTTTTCACAGATGCACTTTATCGCGTTGAGGAAGATCCCGTCTATTCCTAGTTTGTTGAGAGTATTATCATGAAGAGACGTTAAATTTTGTCAAGTGACGTCATGTATTTGTCACTTTTTATTATGATGAATTTCCTGAATTGATTTTTGGTTACTGATTTGCCTTGCATGTCTGGATAAATCTTACTTAGTCGTGGTATAGAATTGTTTTTTATACCATGACCAAGTAAGATGCAACGATTATATACCATGGTATATAATGGTATATAACCAGGATTCAGCTGGCTAGGATTTTTTATGCATACATTTTTTTGAAGCAGAGTCTAGCTCTGTTGCCAGGCTGGAGTGCAGTGGCATGATCTCGGCTCACACAACCTTTACCTTCTGGGTTTAAGTGATTCTCCTGCCTCAGCCTCCCGAGTAGCTGAGACTACTGGGTGCACCACCAGGCCCAGCTAATTTCTGTATTTTTGGTAGAGATAGGGTTTTACCATGTTGGACAGGATGGTCTCGATCTCCTGACCTCGTGATTTGCCAGCCTCAGCCTCCCAAAGTGCTGGGATTACAGGCATGAGCCAGCACACCCGGTGCTAGAATTGTTTTTGAAAATTTTTGCATCAGTATTCAAAAGAGATATTGGTCTGCAGCTTTTTTCTTTTGGTGTCTTCATCTGGTTTCAGCTGGCTTTGGCATCAGGGCATCCTCTTCCATTTTTTGGGAGAGTTTTTGAAGACTTGGTATTAATTGTTTAAATATTTGGTAGAATTCACCAGTGAAGACGTCTGGCTTGGTATTTTCTTTGTGGGTCATTGTTTTGTCAACTAATTCATCTATTTATTATAGATCTACTCAGATTTTCTGTTATTCTTG